AGCAGGAATGCTAGCATCTATTAGGAGGAATACCGATACTAATGTTGACCGGTTAAGGAAATAGTCCTTGGTGAATTGTTCCCAATCCATTCGAAGTTCATGTGGGGCAGATGCATACCTAATGAAAAGAACAAAAAGGCATAAAATGGTCGTCTTAGGAATGGTGAACAGGATCAAATTATTCATCAACAGTTGTACTAAAAAAACAGTATACACTAGCATTTCAAACAAAATCTGGCCAGAAGACAAGAAAATGTCAAAACAGTAACTGTAGTCTGAAAAATGCTACTTAAAACAGTACAACAATTTAGTTCTAGAGCATTTCAAGAATTAAATTGGATAATTTACCACAGAAAAATGCTTTATAAAAATCATAGGACAGCAAACCGCCATATTAAATTATTTCCAACCTTGTATAATTAATCCATCAACCTAAGAGAAGTAAAAACACAATGGAATCCTACCGCTCTTAAAGTCTGACACTCAAATTTCATCAGTAACATTTGCACCAAATACTAGTCCCTTGATACAAACATATTAGTCAATATTTCTAATCTTCAACATGAAGTGAGTATACATGGTAGTTAGGCATACCCATATCCAGGCAAATCAACCAGGTACCAGCTATCATTAATCCGAAAATGGTTTATGCATTGCGTTTTTCCTGCAAGAAATTGAAAACAGACAGTTCAAAGCTGGCCAATTACCAATAAATTAAAAATCCCTTTATGTATCAACTTTCACTGTGAATGCACTACTGTTATATACTCTGCCGTTTAGATAAACTTTTCCAAAAAAATACTTCTAGGAAAAGAAAATAAAAGCTTAAATTAACTTTATTTTTGACATAAACAGAAACTAACTTATGTATAAGCTCTTCGAATAAGTTAAATTTAGCTCATTTTTTTCTTATTTTCTTTTCTTATAAGTGCTTATGGATAAGTTTATTCAAACAGATTCTCTGTCCAGCACCTTAACAGCCAATCAACCATTACTTGTAGATTCTTTATCCTACGTTGCTTAATCCCTACAATACATCCTTACCTTTCTCTACATTCAATTTCAATCCACCAATTTCAAAAACTTCATCCCTCCAAAATACCCTAAGTTACGTCACTTCCAAATAGGTGGCGACATATTCAACACATGCCTGACATAGAGAACACAAAAATTCTCCGTATCATACAGAAAACGGTAATTAAGCAATCGTAGCAATAGCTTACCAGGCTTCTTCGAAGTCAAGGCGAGCTTCTTGCGGCGCACGATGGAGTTGAGGAGCGAGGATTTGCCGACATTGGAGCGGCCAACGAGGGCGAACTCAGGGAGGCCATCGGAGGGGCAGTCCTCGGTTCTGACACTGCTCTTGACGAATTCGGCCTGCGAGACCTGAGCATCGTTGGCGTAGCTACTGAGCAGAATGTTGGAACCGTTCAAGATCCTGGCAGTGTCGACGGACACGGTAGTCTCCGGCGGAACGAAGAGGTTCTCGAGGGATAGGGATAAGGATAGGTCTTCGGGGGAAGGGGTTGCGGCGGGTGCGGGTTCTGAAGTGGTGAGGATGGACTTGGGAGGGCGTAAGAGGGTGGTTCTGGAGGAAGTGGAGAAGGCGAAGCGATATGAGGTGAGGAAGTAGAGAGGGAACCTCGGCAGGTGAAGAAGGACCATTTCGGGTTCTCTTTGTTATCGGGTTATGTATGTCTGGGTGCCAAGTTATGGACTCAACGAGTCACTGATGATGAGAGAAGGGAAAATATCTTGGCAAACCAATAAACGACACTCGCGTTCCACGCTACACTCTAAGGCAAACGTCGTTTAACAAATTATTTGGATTTTTTAAAAATTATCTAACAATAGTGAATATTTATTTATATTTTAAATATCGTATGATATATGGAGTGATAGATGTCATATTTTAATGAATTGAGTAATAAAAATTTGGTCTCTAAACTATCAACTGATTTTTAAAATTTATTCTAATTAGTAAAAATATTATATATATAACTGTTGAATCAATTTAATTTTAAAAATACTATTTAAATTTGACAGATAAAAAACTATTAAAAATATAATCTTACTCACTTTGACACTTAAATTTATTTTTATTTGGATTCAAATTCCCTTGTAACTCATCGACGGTTATATTAGTTCGTTATATTACATAATTTTTTTTAGCTTTAATTGATTTAAATGTTTAATTATATTACATATTTTATTTATTTATTTCATGTAAAAATAAAAATATCAGATTAGCTTAGTTTATGGCATGACCGAAATATAGTATATATATATATATAATTGATATAAAATAATTTAAAATTAATATTAAAAGAAACTCATAAATCAAAAAAGTTGTATTATATATTTCAAGTCCAACCTATTTATTTAACGACTTTTTAACTCAATTTCAGCTCATTTAATATTTATTTAAAATAAAAAAAATTATATATTTCCTCCTCTTTGTTGTTTAATAAGGTGAATGATTTCTGTTGTAATAGTTTTATAGTGCATTTATTTAGTGATATAAAGTTATTTGGAAATCAGTTATTAAGTCTCGTCAAAATTATTAAAAACATGCACATGAATACATTATACGCTGACGATCAATAAACATCAAGTGTAACTCTGGTTTACGGCTTAGAGGATATGATATTTGTCTTTGTTGGTCTAAATCCTAAACTTTAACCCTAAATTTGGTCTAAACCCACTAGTGTCACGCTCAAATTAAATTTAGATGTAACTTTTTTCTCGTAATTAACTCATTAGTTTTGGTATGTATATTAAATATCACAATGGATAATTTATTTTAGCTAAAACAAACTTCTCTCATGGGTTTCCTACTTCAACTGAGGCAAAGACAATGACTCTATTGGAAACACTCACGTGACTTAATGAATTGAGTTTGCAAAATTTTGTCATTAAACTTAATTATAAGCACGTTGTTGATAAATTCTTATATATATTTTTCAAGTAACTCGAAGTTTGGACAAATTATTTGTACATGCACAGTAAAAATACATCATTTCCAAAATGTAATGGTGCATTTTATTTAGAGGAAGACTAGTCGACTCACCCATGGTCTTCCAATGATGTTAATATTGTACTCTAGTAGCCATATTTTGAATAAGTGATATAATTTCCTTTTAGTAAAGAAAATGTGGAATGAAAGAATAAACGTATGGACCCCATAAAATTAGAGTTATTCTCAAAATGAAAAGAAAAACAAAGAGAAACTTGTCTTATTAATTGAATGTATAAAATAACTTCGAGCATTTAATTTTTAATAGTTTTTTTATAATTTTTTTATGTACACAAACTTAACCTTTTTTCCTTTTATTTACATTCATGCCATACAACTTATAAAATATTTTCATTTTTGATATTAAAATATACAAAGTTTGACATTTAAATTAGTCATGTAACATTAAACATACATACAATTCATACTCAAACATGTTCACCCGCTCAAAAAACCTCACTTACAACTCATTTATCCTAACAAGTTTGGAACTCAAAGGGCTTATGTACTGCTCAGTTCAATCAAATTGAACTGACTTTCTCCTACTTGTCCATACCGAGCCCTCAACCCATCATCATAAAGTAAAACTCCAGGTAGTTAATTCCTAACGGCTAATAAGATATCTTGGCATGAATATCTTCTAGAATATGGTAATCAAACACATTATGTTCACTTATCAATAACAATATTCCCACCCAAACATCAAAATATATATTAAAGATATCACGCAATATTATTTCGAAACCTATAAATAAGTTCAATTACCTGTATATAGGGTACCAAATATCATTTTATTTGAATCTCATTTTTAACCTAAATTTTCCTTTAACTTGAGTGTTCGAGAATTTTTGCAGGTGCCCCATCGTCGTGGATATTGGAGCAATCGAGACACCATTTTGACCGTTGGTGTACTTGTAGAGTTTGATAAGAACACACACGCATAAGTGCGCGTACACACACACAAATATATATATATATATATATATATATATATGACTTAAATTTATAATTTTCCTTTTTCATAACAATAATCTTCTCATTATATATCTCATAAATTAAGTAGTTAAGTTTGAGTAAATACTCAATTTGGTCTCTAAAAGATGATAGAAGTGATCGATAGGTTATCAAAAGATTTTTTGTGACATCTAAACTCCTAAGTTTTAACTTCATTATGCAAGTTTGTCATTTTGTTATACATAGTTAATACTTTGTTAGTCTCATGAGCTGTCAACAACTAATTATTATGTTAATACATGTTACATCTCCCTATTGGCATGTAACTAGAGATGTAAAAAAATATCATACTTGTAAATATCGATAAATAAAATACACTACAATTAGAAAATAGATATTGTAAGTGGATACCAACAGGTAACAGGTACAACTATTGTTTTTGTTTTTTTTTTTTTAGTTCGTCCTTGAAGTATCCACCGCCGATAGTAGTGACTAATCTCCTCGCTACATTGAAGGCACCTCGAAGGGTGGGATACCTAGCCCCAAGATTTAACGCGGCTACATACACAAGGCAGGATTCGAACCCCTGACCTTGCTTAAGCGTGGATCAACCCCTACCGCTGAACCACACGCTTGGGGTTATACAAGTATTGTCTATACATGAGCGAAACAAGCACATGTATTATAATATTTGTATCTGAGTACATATTAATATTCAATTACATAATTACATATTATATTTATTTAAATATGAAATACTTTAACAATTAAATTTAATTTTTAAATTAAAGAATATTGATTAATAAAATTTTGTATAAATTTGAATAATTTAAGTTTTGAATTTTGAACTAATGTTTTAAAATAAATTATTAGAATAAATAATAACAATAATAATAATTATATATTTTTAAAATCCATCGATAATCATGGATACATGCAAATATTGAGAAAATACGTGAATATTCGATTGTCAAATACTCGCACGAATATGGAGATGACTATGATATGGACAAATATTTATTTGACAGGACAAGTAATGGGGGGCTACTACCCATACTCGCACTCGCTTGTTGACATCCCTATGTGTAGCAGTTACAAACTAAGTAGATTTAGACATGTGATAAAGTAAGGTTCAATTTTAATTTAATTTTAAAATAATTGAAGTAGCATTTGAATGACTTTTTTTTTTTTACTCACTCCCATTTAGTAAGCAACAAAAGACAAGTATAGTAAAACATTGGTCTGATAGCGTGCAAGGTCAACTACAATGTCTGAGTTCGAAGTACATGTATATAAGGTTAGAGAAAGAAGTGAAGTTGCTAAGCTATATCTTGAGAAGTGGGAGTTTGATTCATGGTCAAAAGTCTTATTTAAAGAGGATTGCAAGATCAATAACATAGTGAATAACATTTATGAGACTTTTAATGCTAAGAATGCCAAGTGCAAGGAAAACCCTATTTTAACCTGTTTAGAATAAGTTAGATGCTACATAATGAGAACTTTAATAAAGAATCCATATTTGATTGACGCATTTGTACTTAAAATTTTTCAGGACGATCAATCATTTTGGCTAAATCTCAAATTCAATAATTTATGAAATCTTAAACTTATAGCCACAATAGATGAAGAAATCAAGAATGACAGAAAATTAAATTATAAAAAACTATCGAAATACAACAACAACCTTTCATTTTAATTAAAAAACATGATTAAAATATTTAAATATGACAAAGTGCTTGATGTTGATTAAAAAAACCAAAAAAACCTTAGATTATAGTTCATAATAAGTCATCAAGAGAGAGAATAACCAATAAAAAATAATAAGTGTCAACTTGAAACTTAATTATTAATTGTTTAAAAAACTAACATAATACAATAAAATAATTAATTTACATAATCAAATTAATTTTTAGGAATTCAAATATCACAAAAAAAAAATCTTTTAAAAATTTATCCATCACTTCTGCCAAAAATCAAATTGATCAATTACTGAGTTAAGTTTTGTATACTTTTTCAATTTTTATTAATTTTATAAATGAATCTCCAATCAGTTTATTTTTTTCTCCAAAGGTCAAGTATTATGGTCATCAAATTATTCGAGACTGTCAAGTTCTTTTAACATTTAAAAATATTTTTAATTTAGGATTCAGGGTTCTTTTAACTAATGTAGCTATGCAAAGAGTGCATATACTTACGTTAGAGGACAATAAAAATATCAATTTATTAATTTATTATTATTCTTAACATTTTAAATATCATTACTAAAAAAGTACTGTAAAAATTAAAATGTTATTTTATTTTATTTTTCTCTCGCAAAAAACATGTCGTAGAACGGTAGAAGTTAGAAGTGGAAGAGAAAGAAAAAGGCAATGAGATCTCGCCACTTCAGCTTCTCATACGTCGAAAATGTATCCGAAAGGTGAAATTTATTTATATTATTATTATTATTTCTGGCTATCATTTCTACCCGTAATTTCTAAATTACATTTCACCAAATCCCACTCAATTTTTTGATTAAAAAATTTCACAAGCTCATTCATCACTGTAGCTACGATTTCCGAGCACTCTTCTTTCTTCGTTTAGATCTCACTTCCTCTGCAGAAAGAAAGAGGCGATCTAATCGCGTCGTCGTTCTACTCAACTTTCACCGGCCATGGCTCCGCCACCACCGCAGTCCAATCGATCCCCCTCGCCGTCGCAACCGTCGGGGTAAGTTCCCAAATTCACTTTCCCTGCCTCCACTTTTCTTTGTTCTTTTAACTTTCTTCTTAATTTGAACGATTCACGCTTTCAATTTGGACTCATCTACGGAAGCAACTGCAGAGCAATTGCCGCCTTTTGGTTTCAGACAAATACGAAATTTCGTATGTTTTGGTTTTATCTCGCAACATGTCTTCAAATGTTTGAATGCGTACTTCGCTAGGTTATCATTAACATTTGAGATCCAATGCCGTTGAGTTTTGTCCTATTTGGCGTACGATTGTGAAATCCAATGTGCTTGTGTGTTATAAATTAAGTAGTTAAGTTATGTATACCGTAATAGAAGGCATAGCATCGTGTCTCGCGAATTCATCATTACGCATTATCTTTTTCATTTCAGAAACTTGTTTCTGGAATAAGGAAAGGGACTATGTTAACTACATTGAATTGGTGCATTAGCTTTTTCTGTCCTTTCTATTTTTTTTTTTTAATTTTTTTTTTTAACCTCAAATGTGCTTTTGATAATTAGCATCACAATTGTTTTCTGTTCGTGTTGTTAAATATTTCTTCGTCATGGTGTAAATTGTAATATATTTACTTCAAGTACTGACCTAATGTTTGATATATCCAGGAAGAGTGAAGTCTCTGATCTGAAATCGCAGCTCCGGCAGCTTGCTGGGAGCCGAGCGCCGGGTGCCGATGATTCTAAGAGGGATCTCTTCAAGAAAGTTATTTCCAACATGACTATAGGTATTGATGTCTCGTCTCTCTTTGGTGAGATGGTAATGTGCTCCGCAACATCAGACATTGTTCTGAAAAAAATGTGCTACCTATATGTTGGGAACTATGCAAAGGGCAATCCTGATCTTGCACTGTTGACGATTAATTTTCTGCAAAGAGATTGCAAGGATGAGGATCCTATGATTCGGGGGCTAGCGTTGAGGAGTTTGTGTTCGCTTCGAGTGGCAAACTTGGTGGAGTATTTGGTTGGGCCATTAGGATCTGGGTTGAAGGATAACAATAGTTATGTGAGGATGGTGGCAGTTATTGGGGTTTTAAAACTATATCATATATCTGCTTCCACCTGTATTGATGCAGATTTTCCGGCAACACTGAAGCATTTATTGCTTCATGACCCTGATACTCAGGTGAGGATCCCATTTCTGTGGAAATTTCATCCTCATACTGATCAACTATAACACTGCTGTTTAACCTTTGTGAAAAATAGAGTTTCACTTATGACCAAGCTAATCTAAATTGTCCAATGATTAATGAATTGCAAGCATATAGGCCATTTATAAACAAATAAATATTATGCTTGATTTTTTTTTTGGTTTCTTGTTTGATAAAGTATTCGATCATTTTTCTATTTTTCGAATTATTATGAGCCTAAATTATGTTGTTGTCCCTAGATGATATCTTTGGACATTTAGAACTACATATATCTTGTTGATAAGTGAAGCATGCATGACACTCATAACCAAATAAAAAAGAAAAAAGCTTTTATGGCACTTATCTCAGTTTGACTAGGATACCTGTGTATTAAAAAATACACTGAAAACCAGTTCTGTTTAAATCAGGACTTTTTAATTTTATCAATCTGAATCATTTGATTGAAACAAGTGTGTTGATTGTTTTTGATTTGATACCAGTACAATTTCCTTGGGTGATGACACTATAAATGGGCTGGTCCTTGAAGTCTCATTTTAATAATTTTTTGTTTGCTTAAAGTTAAATGTATGGTTTTTGGTATAATGCATGCATGCATGATGCATATATGTGTATATATACAAATAGAGGAGCATATAAAGTGAGAGGGCTTTTATTATGAGTGAAAGGAGTGAATTTTTCACATTGGATCATATCATGAACGGTCAAGATTAAAAGACAATGTCATGTGACTTTTTTAAGTTGTCATCTGATCATTACATAACTTTTGATCCTGATCATGCATGTATGGCTGTATGATCTAGATTTACTCCTTTCGCTTGTGTGTGTGTGTGTGTCTCTCTCTCTATATATATATATGTATGTATGTATGTATGTATGTATGTATGTATGTATGTATCAATTTTTTGTTCTTATTGCTTTTCAATTGTTCACCTATATATCAGAACAACAATAGTCTTCATGTTTCAAAAAATTAAAACAACAGCAGTCACCAGATAAATTGTTCTTTACATATATATGGTCATGGTTTTTTTGTCAGGTAGTCGCAAATTGTTTGTCTGCTTTACAAGAAATTTGGACCTTAGAGTCATCCACATCAGAGGAAGCTGCCAGGGAGAGAGAAACTCTACTTAGCAAGCCAGTTGTATATTACCTTTTGAATCGGTAATTTTTTCTCAAGTAATTCCTTGCTCTCTGATACTTTGATGAACACTAATTGGGAAAGCTGTAGTGCTTAAGTTATATTTCCCTATAGGACAACACCATTACATTCTTTAATTAACAATTTTTAAGGCCATACTAGCATTCTTCTGAACACACTAGATAAACTGAATATTCTCAGCCACCCCCTTTTGGGATTTCTTTTCTAAGGAATTTTGTGTCTTTCCATTTCTCGTTGCCAAAGAGGCTCATAGACTTATAGTTCCCCTATAATCTGCCACTATATTAGCTTCTTTGTCCTTGTGTACACTATAAATCAATGATATATAGTATGATTGTGGGAGTAAATGGTTGACTGAGTAGTATCTTCACTAATGTGAACAAGAATGTTTTATTGTTACCTTACTATAAGTGCTAACTGAGGTCCTATTAGACTGTTGATAATTGTAGCAGCCATTGGAGATAAAAAGAAAGTATCTGTAATATCTTGCAAAAATACCAATTTTAAGAAAACATATTTCTTATTTTTTTTTACCTGCAGCATTAAGGAATTTAGTGAATGGGCACAATGTCTTGTGCTGGAATTGGTGGCCAAGTACATTCCATCAGACAACAGTGAAATATTTGATGTTATGAACCTCCTTGAAGATAGACTCCAGCATGCAAATGGTGCTGTTGTCTTGGCAACTATTAAAGTATTTCTACAGTTGACTTTATCTATGGCTGATGTTCATCAGCAGGTATGTATTGATTTGAGTCTCTCTCTGTGTGAAAACATCTCATTAATCTCCTTGTTTTTCATTACAACATATTTTTATACATAGTTATTTTTTCCTCACATAAAATTCTCTGATCTGAATTGTACTTGCTTTATATCTAGTAATGACTTGACTTTTAATTACTATCTTACCAAATCATTCACAGAGGACATATATTTGGCATTTAGGTTTTTCATGCTGCAAGATTAGGCTTATGGTATTCATATATGGACACCTATAATTGGGCCAATGTTTTGATCTCAAACTTAGGGATGCTTGAGGATGCAATGGGTTGAGTGTTGTGATGGTAAACTTGGAGAATTTGTAGGTGGCATATAATTTAAATAAATCAGTAGTTATTATAATTAGGATGTATGTGTACAATGTATTATTTATATTATTGTCTGTGAACTACTTGGGCTTGAGCTGTTTATTAAACAAGCTGGGGTTTGTGCTGGGATTTGATCTCAATTCATTGAGCTTAACCTCAAGCTTAGGTTTTGACTGTATTTGTATATGGCTTGGTCAATCTCAGCATGGCTTGATTGCATATTTATTTAAACTATTGTTTTTATTTTCTAAACTTTTTTCTTGATCTTGAAGTTATTTTGACTTTATCCTGTCAGCTTTGGTTGCTTCCCAGTGATTTTGTAGCAAATTCTTGTTGTTTAGGTATATGAGCGTATCAAAGCCCCTCTTTTAACTCAAGTGAGCTCAGGAAGTCCAGAACAATCCTATGCAGTTTTAAGTCACCTGCATCTTTTGGTCATGCGTGCACCTTATATATTTTCTGCAGACTACAAACACTTCTATTGCCAGTATAATGAGCCATCATATGTCAAAAAGTTGAAGCTTGAAATGCTGACTGCAGTTGCAAATGAAAGTAACACCTATGAGATAGGTAAGTAACTCTTATTTGCTATAGAGAGAAAAGGTTAGGAGAGGGAGTGATTTATGTAGGATGATTGCATTTTTGCTCTGAGGCCCACATTTTTATGACTTATTCAATAACTTCTTGGATCTCATTTCAGTGACAGAATTATGTGAATATGCTGCAAATGTTGACATTCCCATTGCAAGGGAATCAATTCGGGCTGTTGGGAAGATAGCATTGCAGCAGTATGATGTCAATGCTATTGTTGATCGACTTCTCCAGTTTCTTGAGATGGAAAAGGACTATGTTACTTCTGAAGCTCTGGTAAACATGACAAATGACTATTAGATACAGTAGAATTTGTTCCTAAGTGTAGTATCACATTCTTTCATAAACTATGCAAACATGTTGCATGCGTGCAAAGTATGACATTTTGATTTGACTTATGGTAGGGTAGACTAATGCAAAGTTTGAAGTTCATCTGTGCAGGTGCTTGTGAAAGATCTGTTAAGAAAATATCCACAATGGAGTCAGGATTGTATTGCTGTTGTTGGCAATATCAGTAGCAAAAATGTCCAGGAACCCAAGGCTAAGGCAGCTCTTATTTGGATGCTGGGGGAATATTCTCAGGACATGCACGATGCTCCATATGTCTTGGAGAGTTTAGTTGAAAATTGGGATGAGGAACATTCTGCAGAGGTAGTACACCTAACTTTTTATGCTTTACAATCTTGCAATTTCTGCATTTGAAATTTAGATTTCCATATTGAATGCCAAGTTATTCCCAAAAACATGGGGCAGTTTAATCTTAGTTATAGATTCAGTTCTGCCCATGTTGAACTATATTCTTTGGTTTGGGGGGGGGGGGGGGAGATATTGAGACAATAAAGACTTATTGTCTTGTGTATTTTGATGTGTTACATATGATAAAATATACTAATGCTAGATCATAATCCTAATTAAAGAAAGAAATAATTAAATATTACAAAACACAAAATAGGGAAATTAGTCCCAAGAGATAATCTCTAAGACACTCTAAATTATTCAAAGATATAATCAGGATATTATTGGATATTTTTCACTACACTGAATAATATTCTCATGTGTATATTGTGATGTTTTACTTTCGTAAGATTATAAAACATAAACCCCTAACCTTTATTTATAATAGTACTAGATCATAATCCCATCTGAATAAAGAGACTAGTCATGAAATATTAGGAAACATTAAAACTAATGAAATAGGGAAACTAGTCCTAAGAGATAATCTGTAAGATACTCTAAATTATTCCAAGATATAATCAAGATAGTCTAGTTAGGGAAATGGGTCAATGTGTCTCTTGAACTGAACGTTTTTATATTGTAAATAATAATTATAAATGCATTGCAAAATAGATATGTTAATAAAAAAGTTAATGAATATTATGCACTTATTTAATTACTCATTAGATTAATACTTTAAGAATTATTATCACAATTAATTATTAAAAAAACTAAATAATTGATAATACATATAGTATGAGAAGGGAGTTGGTTATTTAAAAAATTAATTTCTTGAAATCTTAGATTAGTTTTAAAAAGAGTTAATGGTGTTCTCATTAAAATTTAATATATCCTCTTATCAAAATTTAACTGTGAACCGTAAGTATATTTTTTTTATATCAATGTCATAGTTCTATTTATAAGGTAAATTGAATATATATATATATATATATATATATAATTATACTAATTATAAATATCGTTCTATTGAATCAATTAAAAAGTCTACAAAAATAATTCTCATAAAACAATTTGAATAATCATTCTATTCAAATACCTTTTATCCTAATTATTATTAAATTGTTTAATTTTGATAAGAAAAGGGAAAGAAGCCAAGGTTAATCTCAGCTCAACTATTGATATTAGCAAGTCCCACATTGGCCAGTTAATGCTAGAAGCAGTTTTTTCCCTTTGTATATGTGGTTTGCTTGAGTAATCAGCTTAATTAAGTATTTATTCAATATTCTACTGTCAAACGAGAGCTTATTCAAAAGCTTGCCGTGAAACTTGTTGAAATGAATTACAGAGAGCTTATTGGAAGGTCAAAAACTACTTTCATAAACCCAAATAATCAAATGTCCTAGGACATGACTTTTGTTAGCCATTTGGTATTACGTGTCATTGGTCATAGTTAAGTCACAGACTCAAAATTGTTAGGCATGGAGGCAGTGGAGAATATGCTGTCTGGATACTACATATATGCTATGAGATTTTAACAGTCTTGGTTGAGTGAATTTGACAAAAACCTATGGATTGTGACTAAATTTGAGCAGTGCTGTCCTACTTTGAGCTGAACCAGCCTAAGCTGTAGTTTCACTGGTCAGACAGGCTAGACCAGACTAGGTTTAATAAATATACTGTGAACCTTAACAATTGTATTTGTAAAATATTTGAAAGATTTTTTGTTTTCAAGTATTCATTAGAAAATTCTTTAGTAGGTTTAATCTTTTTGTGTCCAGCTGATTTTATGGCAAAGGCATATTCACAAACATTATTCTCTTATTCTTTTGACACTTGAGAATTCCCCCTCCCCTCTGCTTCAATAACTCCTCCCTGCATTGGCAATAACAATATAATACAAAACATTAACTGCTGTCTTCATATATTCATGGAGAACAAAGGAGGCATTGATCAGCCTTTGCATCCCTCTCCAGACATACCAAGAGTACGAATGTCTTCCATGGAATCATTGTTGGGTTTGGATTTCAATGTGGTTGTTAGGAACCAAGAATTAGGAAAGAGAAAGAAAAGAAAGATTTTATTGAATATGTTGAAAAGAACAAAAAAATAGGAGAGAAATATCTCCTCCAAGGGTTTCCCCTTCACAAAGGATTTCTCCTTTCACAAAGAGCTAATGCTCAATTTACAAATGTGAACAAATCTGAATCTTCCCCTCTACCAAGTAACCTCCTATTTATAGATGTGATGGGCCTAGCCCATGATATCTTTCTAACTAATAACTATTCTAATTCCCTTTATTCTATATCCTAACAGTGGTCCTAATTTAATTGTCATAATTCTATCATTGTAATGAATAAAGAAATGCATACGTCATTGATACCCCCTCCTGGTGGTTGCATGTTAATCATGAAACCATTGTTTTATCATAGAGATTATTTAGTGGTATCTATTGTTAGTATTGCAATAGGATATTAGTTTTTATTTATGTTTACTTTATTATATTTTGAACAGCTGCTGTCTCATGATGCAGGTTCGCTTACATCTTCTTACTGCAGTTATGAAGTGTTTCTTTAAGCGACCCCCTGAAACTCAAAAAGCATTAGGAGCTGTTTTGGCTGCTGGTCTTGCTGATTTTCACCAGGTTTGAATTGCTGCTACATATTACTTTGAATGATCAAAACAATGAGATGTTTGATTATTTTCTTGTATCACAGTGGTAAGTTAAATAAGCTTTCTGTTGATTGCAGGATGTTCATGATAGGGCCTTATTTTATTACAGGCTTCTGCAATACAATGTATCAGTGGCAGAGAATGTGGTCAGTCCTCCAAAGCAAGCAGTTTCAGTATTTGCTGATACCCAGAGCAGTGAAATCAAAGATCGTATATTTGATGAATTTAACAGTTTGTCTGTTGTATACCAAAAGGTAGCTAAAATCTACCCCCTTCCCCCACTGGTTAATGAACACATTATTCGTTGAGTTTGGACTGATTTTAAGTACTTGACTCCATATCTAAATTTAATATTTTTTGTTGCTATACCGAACAAATTTAAACATAAAATGGCAATGGGGAGAAAATAAGAAATAATTCATCTTACCATTAAATTTTTTTTTTTCTGTTTCTTCCCTGTAAAATGAGTCTGACATCGGAAGGTTTTATGTTTAGTCTAGCCTCTACTGTTGAATCACGAGATATTCTAAATAATATGCTGCAATTTGTTATTTACATAAGAAGTCATTTTTAACATTTTAAGGATAGGAATGTTGGTGACACTATCTATCACACTCCTTCTAACACACTTTTATTGACT